GCTACCTAGTGCCTTGCCAACACATCTGCTCAGGGGAATGTTTTTCATTTTGATCAGAAGCAGCTAACTTGGACTTGGTAACATCTACTGACGCTCACACCAGGGAAGGTAAATCAGGACTCGAACTCGTATTTGCATACAAAATGCCAGATTCTTATCTCCGTTTTGCAATGTACACTGCCAAGCTCTTCTAAAACTGCCTGTTGCCTGTGGTTTTGAGCAGAATGATAGATGTTTTCCAAATCTTAGATCACAGTTTGACCTTTAAGTTTCATGTGTGTTGTATGCTTTCATTATTCTTTTTTCCTTGTGATGCTCAACAAAGATTTCAGAAAAAAAGAGTTCCTCTCTGAGGAAATGAGGAAATGCCTTGTAAGGACTAGAAATGGAGACTAGGAGCCCTGGATTTTGCCTGGTGACTTTCTACATGACCATAGGTTATCCACCCGAGGAATTGATGTAATGTTATTCCTGTGGGATTAAGATGAAGCTTTGGGAAGGTTAGAAATGTTAGTCTGGGATCTTCAAAAGCATAAAGGAGGTGATGAAAATTGAAGAGGATAGTGGTGTTTGAAAGGGGAACACAGAAAAATAAAGTGAGAGGGGAACGCTTTTGGGAGGGTCAGATTACAAAAGTTTGTGCTCAGTATCCACCATGACATTTCTGGTTCTTATTCTGTAATTCAAAACAGCCGTTTCTTACAGAAATAGACAATCACTGGATGCCCACCAGGCACCGAGGCTTTGCTGCGGATAATTATGATCTGATGAATGAGCTGCATCTCGGGCTGGGCTCAAACAATGGCTTGCCAGGAGCTCTACCATCCCGTGGGGAAGGTGCTGATGCTCTCCAGCTCCTCCGCTATCGCTCTGGCAGAGATCCACACATGGTCCCCGCGCTGCCCGAGAGCACGTAGCCATCGGTAGTTTCTGCAACAGTAGTTGCGTAAGGATGTTGGGTGATCAAAGAGTAGGCTAATTGGGTTGGATGGATCAGCAATTTGTGGTGGCTGAAAAGCCAGATGCATAAACTGCATCTTGTATTGTGCCCTCTCCAAACGGCTGGATATGCCCTCTGATGGCCGCTGTAGCTGGGTCAGATCCGTTTGAGGTTGACGGTAGCCAGAGGTTGAAACTGTTAGATGTCCGTCAGGGGTGTGTGCTCAGGGAGCCCGAGGAAGCGGTGCTTACCCAACCGTACGGTGCCGGGCACGGAGCCGCAGAGGGTGCGCCTCGGGATGAACTCGCCCGCGATGATTTGTGGTTCAGCGGGATGGAGCCGTGTTGTGATGAAGTGGGCTGTCTTTTGCATAGCAGATACTAACAAACTTTGCAAGGCTGGGAACTCCTTCAGACTGCATGAATGAGTTTGCCGATGACTTGCCAAAATATGCAGATTATTCTTTCTCCTGTTGCGCATTGGTTTAATTAGAGATTCAAGGAACCACCTGACTTTGCCTAAAAATCCTGCCAGCTATATCAGGAGGTAATCCGCTCTGCACCAAGACTAGCAAAACTGCAGGCTGTTTATTACTATTTGTTTTACAGCAGTTTTCAAGATTCCCTTTTAGGATTGGGCCCTGCTTTGCTCAGTAATAAAAACTTTGCAGTGTTTCTTCTACAAAGCATGATGCATCTCACAGATGCTTATCTTGTTTTTAGTTGGGGTTTTTTGATGTATTCTACGTGCTTACTGTGCTGACTTGAAACTCACTCAGGGCAGAAGAATTATAAAATAAGCAGAGAAGACCAAAAGAAAAAAATAAATAAGGTCTTTGTTTTTCTTATGTAGCACCAATCTGTGCCAGCCTGATTTCTAAACAGAAACTTTAAATAGAAATGCATGTTTTGCTTTGATTGAACTATCCCAGAAAAATAAACCGAAGTTATCCCAAAATAGTTTGTGAACTACAATAGCTTGATGAAAGTCTCTTTACAGTATTCCACTGTGCTTTGAATTCCTTGAGATTTACCCAGGCTTCTTCATCACGCTCTGTAAATGCTGAATCACTGTAGGACATCTAACAAGATTTAATGCATTCACTGCCTTCAGTTCAGGAGCTGTCATTTAGGGATGGTCTCTGTACTTTCTCTTCCTACACAGCAACATCATTTTAGACTTACTGATCTAAGAACAACAGGAGGTCGACTCTGATTTTTCTTGTGTTGATGTGAACCAGGATGTCCTACTGAAGTACACGGAGATGCAGTGCTGTAAAAGTACTATGTAATCATTTTCACATCTGTGTGTATTTATTACACAGACATCTGAACATACATATCCATTGTCTGATTATCTCTGCTTTGAAACAAACATTTCAGCAGTTGTGTTGGATGAGAGCCTGGAGCTTTCCAGTTCCACAGGTTGGTTGGTCATTTTGTGCCCTGTACAATGAATCAGCTTAACTCTGCTTTCCTGTTGAAATAACAGGTGGAAATTTGGAGAGTCTGAGCTAGGGATTGCGGAGGCCCTTTCGATGGGTGCACTTTTCATGAACGTTTGAGAGCACAACACTCAGTCGCTTGGATCTCGTATCTTTAATAACTTCCTGAAACAAATAGGTGCAATTTAGGCCATGCTGAAAAAAAGAAAAGCATCTGTTTCAGCGTATTATCTGTGTGCAGGGACAGACTACTAGTCAAGCCACAGTTTAGCTTAGAGAAGGGCGCAGAGGGTGCAGTTCAGCTGCTGTGTAAGGAGAGGTTGGACTCATCCTTATTAATGAAACCAAGACCCAGAGCTTTGAATTGACCCAATATCTTGCAGAAAATCCAGTATCCCAAGAGAACCAAGCAGCTTTTACAGTGCTTGTGCTTTTCTGTTCATTCACAGTTTGTTTGTTAGATGTCATTTGCATGAACAGTCAAACAGTATTTCAGTTCTGTTCCATCAACGTTTTAAGCCAAGTTTCATTTTGGCACGCAACAGCGATACGGTTGTTCTGTTACTCAACTATTGTTAGAAGAGGCTTAGGTTAAATTCTGGAAGTTAATGAGAAAGCGGTGTGCAGGAATTTGGATTATGCTTTATGAACTAATTAAATACTTATTTACATGCTGTGTTTACTGTCCTCTATACACAGGAGTTTTTGTTCAGTACTCGTTTCATGTATAGGTAATTTACAGCTTATTTCAGCCTCATACCCTTGATGCGTGCGCTCTCTTCTTCACACAAAGAGTGAGGCAAATTAATATCCTTGCCTCCCTTGACAACACACAAGGGTCTTTTTCCTGGGTAAAAGAATTTTTGTAAAGCAAAATGCATGTTTATGTCTTACCTCTTTATAATCCCTGTTCAGTAATGGTCCTCAAAGTAAAAGTAAAAGATTTTTTAAAGTACAGGTATATAAAGTTAGTCTTCTAAGGTCTTATTTAGACATGTAAATAAATGATCTAATTTCCAGAGGTATTGTTTACAAAGCAGACCTGAACAGATCAGCTGCTTCTACACCTCAATGAAAGTAGCGGCCCCTGAGGCCAGTCATAGCCACGGGCTCCTCACCCACCGATGAGGATCTGCTCATCACCCGGTGACGAGCCTGGGTCCGGGCATCCCACAGCACGTTCCAGCTGCCCGGGCAGGTGCCCTGCGGGGTGCGAGTCTGCCCCGGCAGCCGCGGCTCAGCCACGCTGTCCCCTCCCATCAGCGCAGGACGCTCAGGACTTCTGAAAACTTGGACTTCTACCAGGCGTAAAATTAGGCTCTTATATCCAGACATACTGATAAAATGAATGAAAATTCACTTTAAAATGTCAATGGGGATTGCTTAGCAAAACCTACACTGATGTATTTAGTTTTAATCATTTTTACAGAGATAAAAGATGGGCCATTAAAACTAGGGCTGATTGAAGAAACAGGACATTATTTGCGATGTTTCTAATGAAAGGTTTTCTGAAGGATACTTACTAGCTTGTAGTAATGAATCTATTTTGTAGGAATAAGTGAAATTTAGGTCCAGCCAGCAAAGCAGTCCAGTTTGGTGCAACCTTTACCAAGGTTTTAGGAAAGACACTTGCCTAGCAGGGAATCTCATCTGCCTCTTCTAAATTGTAAAGCTAAACCCCTAAAATGAGGCTGAGTCTCATGCAGTCTTCATCACCGAATACCTAAATCAGCCTCTTTGACAGTTAATATTTACCTAGCTTGCTTGTAGCAGTGTTTCCCAAGTAATCTTTAACCATCCACATTTCATTTTCTACTCTAAATATTTACAGTTTTCTTTTCAGTGTTCCCAGGGTGATTTCCCTGCGTGCATGTTCAGTTATGTAGCTCTAGCATAAAAAAAGAAGACAGTTTTTAATTTGCTGGCATTTTGTAACTTTTGTTCTGCTTGCAAAGTTGAACATTGATTAGTTTTGACACACAATAAAGCCAGCCCATGTGGCCGACCGTGCTTTTTGAGGGAGGTATATGCTCTTGTCAGAGTGTGATGTGATGGGTCCCAGATGGAAGAGTTCGAGGGTGCAGCTGAGCCGACCCAGCAAATGGCTCTCAGGAGAGAGGTCCTCTCCCTCTGCTCACTCGTCCCCTTCCCCATGCATGGTCTTGCCCAGCAGAGAGCTGTTCAGGATTTTGCTTGGGTTTTACTTGTTCAGGATTTTGCCCCCCGGGCACAGGCAGCGGGGATGAGGTAGAGAGGAGCTGGGAATCTTCCTTCTTAGCAACAGGAGCTGTTAGACCAGCTCAACTGCATCGTGTAGGTGCACTATGATACGCCTAAATCCATTTAGGCTGGCACTTAAATACCTGTTAATATGAAGTCTCTGATGATGTGTTGATTTTAAATGATTTGCTGAATTATGGCCTGTTGGGAGGCTACAACAGAGTTCAGAGAAGAAAATCCTCGCTCTCGCATTGGTGGAATTTTCCCCGTTTTATATATGATCACACAGTGATCTTTGGCTTAATGACAGTGCGTAAAAGGTACTGCTGTATCACTGCTTGCATAGTTACTTCTTGTCAGTACCACTTGTGGTTAAAGTGCTGAACTCTTTTGCAGGTTAACGAAATTTATCATGATGAGTCCCTGGGTGCTCACATTAACGTTGTCTTGGTGAGGATAATCCTGCTGAGCTACGGCAAGGTAGGTAAAGGTTCATGTAAATGGAGGAGATCAATATCTCTGAATTTCATTCTCTTATGAACAATGTAGTTACAGGTGACATGTATCCATTTTGTATTTTAATTCATACATTGTCCTTACCAGTCTATGAATATAAAGAACTTTCACGTTTATATGTATTTGTTTATCATTTGAACTTCACATTTCAAATAATTTCAATTTCTTCTGGGTTTTCCCTGTGTCATTTTAAGTTGCTGCTTAGCTCTGGCAGTCTATCTTTTCAGATTTGTTTGGAATAATCCATGAAATGTAGTGAACATTTTGGTTCCTAAAGAAAACACAAGGTGTTGTGGTAGAACCGTACGTAAGTATCAATAAACACTAGATCAGTTCTGCAAAATGCTGAGGGCTACAGCCGCATTCCAAGAACTCATTTAAACTTGGGCTCAGCATTAGTGGGACTACACATGTGCTTAAATTTAAGTGCGAGTTCTGTGGGATAGGGGCCAGAAGGCAAGAGCTCTGCAGATCAAATCTGTAATTAAGAATACTAAGCGTTCTCTTGCTGTTGCTATGGAAGGGGTTACTCTACAGGCAAAACTCGCGTAAAGAGGAATGAAATGCTAAGTGGTTTTCAAAAGTATTGAACCGC